CTCTATTTATACAAAAGTATATCCTAAGTTTAGAAGAAAAAGAATCTAAACTTTAACAAAAATATTGTAACAAAAATGCACAATAATAGATATTCTTGTTTTGACTATGACGTGGTGTGTGGCTTCAACTTCCTTGCTGAAGTTACGTTAACAATCTTGATATATAAAATTTTGTTTACCCCACAAACTATCATATGTAAAATCATTTCTGAAGACTTTATGATAAAATTAGATGTCTATAGAAGAGGATCTTTTGTTTAGTAACTTACTCGATTGATTTGTGAAGATAATGAAGATGATCTTTAAAGTAATTGACTCTATCCGTATCGTTAATTAGTTTATCAACTTGAGGACTATCAAAGTCGAGGTATCCTGCAAAATGTACAATTTAATTAATAAATATGGCAATTAATTATAGTCACATTTTCTTTTCTTGATATAAAAAGGAGATTATATTTGAATACCATTTTCTGTGATATAGATATTTGGATTTTTATAGTTGTTTTTTGTGTATAACAATATTTCTTTCAATCCTTGTGGATAAACTGCAAGCCAAGATGATTCGTTCACCTGAAACCATATTGTAATTAGAACATTGTTCGATGGCATCAATTATTTAATTTAGATTTTAAAAGGCATGACCAAACAAAAATAATCAAATATATAATTGAGAAATACATATTATATTATATTGTCAAAATTTGATTACCCTTGGACCAATCGGGACACCGTCACGTTCACCTGCATAATCCCAAAAAAAAATTATACAAAGTACATCTAATTAGAGATAATATGAAAACTAGTACTTATTTGTATGGATAAAAGTATGCTTGGGTGTCATTAAATTACTTTTGTAAAAAGATCTTTTCTATTATATTATTATTTTTAAATTTTCTGGAATCGATACCACGTGGGATTGATTGAATCCAAGATCTCATGGTAGCTGATACTATGAGGTCCAAAACCTTTGCCACTACAATTTTCAGTTATATTAAAAAAATTTCAATACTACGTTACGACCAAATAATCAAACATCAATTTATTATTATTATTATTTTTGCTTTAGTCTCCCATATTTAACTGAATTTTTCAGTTGAGTAGTTTAAAAAGTTTCAATCAAATTGGCCGATGATAAGCTTTGCAAGTACGGTACTTGATAAAAACTTAGACAAGAAGTTAGAAATTTCTACAAACTTTTTAGAATTTTGGAAGAATTAGAATTTTTTTTCCTCTTTTAAGTGACCTATCTCTTTCCCTAAATCTATAGTATCATACCATATAAACAACTTATCATCATCAACCAATTTTAACTTCGTCAAAACGAGCATAGCTCAGTGGTAATTGACATATGTCTCAAATCAAGAGGTCGTGAGTTTGAATCCCCTCTCCGACATTTAAAAAAGAAAACCCAATCTTAACCTCCACCCACGAGAATGATATTGAAAAATCTTAAAATACGAGGACTCAAATTAAAACTTAAATGGTTAGAAAATAGTACTTTTGGGACATTAAAGAAAAGAATGACTAATTTAAGTGCTTACTTGTAATATTTACAGCCATATCAGTCAGGTAGTTGGGTGGAGTAGATGGGGTAGAATTGGAAGTGTCTATTGCATAAGTAGCTGTGTAGTAGTTGATACCAAGAAAATCGTACGATCCTGTGATCAAAATGCTTTCTTCCTTTGTGAATTTGGGCAATCTATCCTCTACGCGGGTTCTCATAACGAGTGGATAATCTCCATACACGAGTGGATGCACGAACCTATCATTTTAGTTGAATTATGTTCAGATTTGACTAATTTAATTAATATAAAGTTTTTGAAATTTTAATGTAGTAATTAGTCATAAATTTTGACATGTGAATTAAATAATTCACTTACCAACCATAATTGAAATCAAGAATTCGACTTGCAGCTTCTCTGTCTTCCCGAGTATTTGAATATGGGACAAACCAAGTGGTCCCTAGTGTGATGCCAATCTCACCTTTTTGTGCTTTCTGCAAATCCAATATTATAACATTGGTTGGTTGAAAATTGATGAAAGAAATAAATTTAGTCTAATTAGATTTTGTGGTTAATATTGATGATAAATATAGCATCGAAGCAAGGTTTTGGGTTCGAACCCCATGCTAGTCACAGTGTTGTTCAACCCAAGCAACGAATCCTAATTACAAGGACTATTAAACCTTATTAAACTATAAATGAATTTAAAAGCTTAAACTGATAGTTTAAGTAAATTTAATTCTACCGTAACACACACGTCATTGATTCTGGAAAAAAGATTTCCAAAATCTCTAGGTGGGTAGTTAAATTACAAGTTTAGAATTCTAATATTAGACACAAAATTCATGTTTAACAAGATCCGATATCGTTGATCATTTGTGGAGGGAAAGGTAGAAATATATTAAATAAAGATATTAATTCATTAGCCTAACATTCAACAAATATAAGTTGTTCTAGTTATTAGTTAGAGAGAGATTTAAACCTGGTATTTGGTCTTGTAAACATGGACCGCATTAGCGTGAGCAAGATTTAAGTTGTGACCGACAATATATGGTTCAGTTCCAGAATCCCCACCAGTACAATTACGATTCATCCATTTTGAACATCTGCCTGGGGCATGTGTTCCTATTACGTAACCCTGTATGGTGATGGTGCTTTGTTCGTTCAAAGTGATCCAACGTTTGACTCTATCTCCAAACTCCTTGAAGCAAAGGTCAGCATAGTCTCGAAAATCATTTCTGTAATTGAAATTTACAATTATTTCATTTTGTTGCAAACA